GCAGCAGAGAACTGCAGTGGGGCCACCGCCTCGTCCGAGGCGGAGCCCATGACGATGGCGGCGGTAGTCGTCTTCGCAGCTCATCCGTCAGGGTGGCGCCACAGACAGCTTCCAACTGTCCTGACCCAATCAACCCGACATCGCGACTCCATTCCTCAGAGCCACGCGGCAAGACGCGTCACCTGATGTCGCCGCATGGGTCCTGCGCCGCGCCAGTGCCAAGAAGCTCTTGGATTCGGATCGTGGGGGAGGGGGCGTTTACACGTGCCTCAAATCGCCCCCGTCGCGATCCCAATCCAATGGCTCCTGTGCGACTCCTGCGCTGGAGACATGCAGTGGCGCACCGCCAATAGTGTATTTTGCCGCGCGGCTGCGGGCCCTGGGATAGAGCCACGACGTCGCGTCGCGTGGATCTTGACAAGTGGGATCTGTGCGTGGCACCACCTTTGCGGATTAAGAGGACGGGTGGTCATCATCGTCGCTGACATGGGCTCATCGCTTCTCCCCCATGGGGGACTTTAACGCAAGGCTGCGCAGGCGCTTCCCTGACGAGAAATCGATCTTGGGACCGTTTGTGTTCGGCTCGCCGGCTGCCCAGTCGAATCCTGCTTCGAATCGCAGCCTGCTGGCCGAGCTCTGCGCCAAGCTGAAACTGACGATCGGCAACGCACTGTTTGACGAGCCTCTGGATCGCCAAATCACGTGCTACAATGTCGGGAAGAGCCCGGGGGGCGAGCCCATTCCGGAAAATTTCGGCCAGATCGACATCGTCCTGGCGTCTTCCGAGTGGGCGGGATTCCTCAGACATGTCTGGATCGACATGGGGCGGGCGTTGGCTTCGCACCGCTTTCTCCTGACCGCTGACATCGACATCGCTCTCCGCGGCAGCGCGGCCGCCGCCGCAGCAGAGCGACCTGACTTTCGCTCTCTCGGGTCATCGCCAATTGCCGCTGGCTTCGCCGAGGCCTCTGCGCGCCAGATGGACGGGGCCTGCGCTCGAGAAGGTAAAGTGTCTGCCAGCGAGCTTGATGCTGCCACGGCGGCCGCCTTTCACCGCGCCGCAAAGCAAATTGTGCCGACAGCAACGCTGACTCCGCGAAGGCCATGGAAATCTAGCCGCACCCTGCGCCGCATCCAGCAACGCTCTGACGCAAGGTTGGCCCTCGACCGCAGTGCAGAGACAAGCCTTGGTGTCGCGGTCAAGAGATCTGCCAAGGAAGACCGCACCGCGTGGCTGGACAACTGGCTCGCCGCGGGGGGCCGGAGCCATGTGCGACGACTTCGCAAAAGTTTCTGCGCGCAGCAAGGCCGGCTCCGGAACCGCGAAGGGCGAGTCGTCGATTCTGAGGCCCGAGCGGACACCATGGCGGAGTATTTCAGCGAGGTGCAACGGGCTGCTCGGGACAACACGGAGATGCGTGAAGAAGCACTGGGCCCGGGCCTCCCCGTTGACCTCGGCCCCATACTGGACAGCGAGGTGGAGGCAGCGGCCCGAAAGATGGTAAACCGTGCGGCTCGGACGGCGTGCCTGGAGACCTCTGGAAGGCCGTCGCTGCGCCGGGGTCGCCAGCGAGGAGATGGGCGACGGCGCTCTGCTCGAAGCGCTTGGAAGATGGCATGGTCCCAGACGCCTGGCACGAGCCGCTTGTGGTCGCAATTGCCAAGAAGGGCGACGAATCTCTGTGAGAACTACAAGCCGGTCTGTCTTCTGCAAGCTGGCTGCAAACTTTACGCTACCGTACTGCTGCGACGCCTTCAGGCCGCCGGCGCCGAGTCGCGCGCCTGGCCGACGCAATTTGGATTTAAGTCGCAGAGCGGAACCGCCGACGCCATCTTCACGGCGAGGCGATTCATGGACGATGCGTGGGAAGCGAAAGGCGCTCACCTCGTCTTCCTCGCGCTCGACTGGGCCAAAACCTTTACAGCGTTGACCCTGCGGCCTTACTGCGGGCTCTGCGCCGCTTCGGGCTGCCGGACAAGATGCTGAAGGCCGTGGGCGCGGTCTACACCGGGCGCCGCTTCGCTGTGCGAGACGCTGGCCAAACATCTACCTCGCGAGAGCAGAAGGCTGGTGTTTGCCAGGGATGCCCTCTCTCCCCGTTCTTATTCGCCATGGTCGTGACGGTCCTCCTGACAGATGCGAAGCATGAATTGGGGGCGGCTGCGGACGAGGTCAAAGACATGCGCCGCCGAAGACATGCGATCCATCTCGGATGCTGGCGCCAAGTACGGCCTGCGCTAGAACTGGCGGAAGCTGGAAGTGCTGCCGGTACGGTGCCAAGCGTCTATCTCGAAGCCCGATGGCGAGCCGTTTGTCCAGAAGGAGAGCCTCGTGTTCTTGGGCGCTGTTCTCTCATCCAACGGCAACATCGACGCTGAGCTTTTGCGAAGGCTCGGAGCGGCGAGGTCTGAGTTCGACAAGCTAGCTCGAATATGGTCTCATCGCACTCTGTCCGTGTATTAAAAAGTGAATATGTTCAACGCGTGTGTAATTTCAAAGCTTTTGTATCGCCTTCACACCGCGTGGTTGACCAAAAACAGAGCTGCCCAAATTAGACGTTTTTCAAGTATGCTGTTCGCGCAAGGTTTTAGGTATTCCGTTTTCGTATATAACTCACATGACAAATTGTTCGGTGCTTGGCCCGACAAGGCAAAGCTGGTTGAGCCAGATCTTGATGGAGCGACAACTTACAGGTCGCGCGCACGGGCGACGACCACCCCGTGCGCGGATGTCTTTTCAAGCTCGGAAGCGCGGAGCTTCGAGATCCACCCTCAGTCCGCCGGCGCGGCCGTCCCAGACAGGTGTGGGCGCGCGAGGTGTATGAACACGCTGTGCATGCATGTGTACGAAGAAGTGTCAATTGGTCAGAGGTTGCTGCCATGCCAGCAAGCGTCTGGAAGAGCACGGCGCGAGAGTACAGCCGATCTCGCTAGTTCCCTTCCATTGCTCATGTGCGCGTCGCACGGCTTCTAATAATAAATCCTGGCGCCACGTAGGATTCGGAGAGCGAGACGCGACCCCAGCGCCGCGCTAAGGCGAAAAGCCTTTTCAGACCAGGCCTCACCGTCGCGCCAGGGCCACATGGCGACTTCATATGAGCCCCCGAGCCCCAGGTGTGGGACCTCGCCTCACCACTGCTATGGCGTGAGCCGCCATGGCTGTGGCGTGGCGAGGGGGTCGCCATACTGTATGGTCTTAGTCTGGCTCTTCATCTGCTGCCATGCTGGGGCGGGGTGGTGATGGTGGCTGGTGCCTAAACGCAGGCCTGGCTGGCTTCCGTACCCCGCTGTAGTGCCAACACAGTCGGGGTGATTCGATCGTGAACTCATCTGAACAATCATCATCACCGTTATCATGAAACTCGCATCGTCATCATGACCGTCACCATCGCAACGCCACATCACCACTTCTGCCTGACGCCGCTCCTGCAGCCAGCTAAGTAGTATGATAAGTGTTTCGTGCTAGTGGCTGGCGGTTGCAATGGCAGTGGCAATGGTAATCTTCTTAACTGGTGTGTGTTCTCGATTAGGTGTTTCTCGATTTGGTGTTTCTGTGTGTGTGCCCATTTGAACGTTTGTGGCGCGATGTGCTAACCTTGTATACATATGCATATTCACATACAGACTCGATAACAATACGCAAATACCTATCATGCTCTCTGATGTGCCGCTGCAATGGAACTCCATGGTACGATAACCCACGGCATGAAACACAGTACTCCGCTAGGTTCTGCAATGCTCAGCCATGGCCAATGACAATATTCGCTGCGACATGATACGTCATGAAATGTGTTCCATCGCAGACCGTTCGACACTTTGTTCTGTCGCGGCTGATGTGTCGATCATGCATTTCTGCGATTATCAGAAATCGATTCCCAAGTCCCCCGCGATCCTCCATCCATCGATCATCGCCCCCATGAATCCATGCACCTTCTGGTCCCTCGACACATGGATCCGTCGTCCTCACAAACCATCTGCCCGTCGGTGCTTCGATCCCTCGATCCGTCGATCCTCGATCCACTGATCCGTCGATTCCTCGGTCACCCATCGATCCCCAACACCACGATCCAGTGATCCTTCGCTCCCTCGAGGCGCCATCGTTCGATCCTCGACGTCCCCGCGACCCATGTCGAGTGAGAGGAGGGGGAGCAGGAACACGGGAGAAGAGGCCGAGCCCCGGTCGGCACCGGGCAGGCCCGAGCCATCACAGAAGAAGAGACGTCGCCATGAGCGTATTGCGGGTTCGCGTCGTGTCGACCCCAGCGTTGGTTCCTGACACCGCGGGGATCGTTCAGCCTTGAACGATCGGCCGTTTCCCAAGCGTCCGATCGTTTGACATGAACCGATTCTGGGTCGCCAGCGGCGTGCAACACTGAACGCAAGCGGCGGATTTCATATTGGCCGATTCCGGGCCACCAACGCAACGCCCGATGCAGGGTCGATGCCGCGTCGGCACAACACGAACCTACCGTACCTCTCCTAGGGCGCGCTTTGACAAGATATTCGAGCCTTGGCGACGAGAAGCCCCCCTGGAGGCCCATAGAGGACATGTCACTGGCAAGAGCCTCGAACCTCGAACAATCAACGAATGACGACGAGCGGCGACGAAACCGACGACGAAGAGAGACGAGGATCGCAGGATCGACGACGACGACGGCGGCGGCGACGACAGCTGCGACGTCGACGCGAAGGCGACGCCGTCGGAAGACGACGAATGACGACGAGCAACAAGTTGTTGCTCGTCGTTGTCAACGACGAACACCGACGAATCGACGACGAACGAACAACGACGACGACCGGCGACGTCGAACAACGACCAACGACGTCGTCGACAGCGACGGGCGACGTCGAAAAAGACGACGAACGACGACGTCGACGAAGACAACGACGACCAAATGACAACCGACGACGCAGACTGCACGACAAACGACGACGAGTCGACGACGACGACGACGTCCGTCGTCGCTCGCCGCCGCCGCCGCCGCGGGGGGGCGCCGCTCCCGGCACAGGGGCCGCCGCGCGGGCTCGGGGGCGACCATGCGGGCCAGCAGCGGCGCCAGGCGCTCGCCTCCGCCCCTCCCCTCTGCCCTCCCAAATCGGCGAGACTCAAAGGGCCCAAGGAGCCACAAATAAGTGCAGACAAGTCCAAGGACTCATATCATTTTGAATATTTTCTGGACTTTCGTCTTCCCTCCCGATTCTTTTCATGGGGTTCGAAGTTTCGGGGTGTCTGCTTTATTTTTCCCTACTGAGAGACGCACGGATCGGGTTTGGGGAACTCGGGTTGGCCTGACGGGGCCGCAAGGGAAATGACGAGACCCACACTAAAATCCGACGCGAGCTCCCGCGGCAAACGTTCCACCATGACCGGACCGTCGAAATCCGGAACGGGCCCGTCAAGAAGCGTCGGCAGGCAAGTCCGAGCTCTGGCGAACTCGAGTCTTGAAGGTTGGCACTGTTGCATAGCTTGTCGCGGCGGCAGCCCCAGCGACACGCTATGCATTGCAAGTGGATTGCGTGTCGCTCCGCTCCGCGCGGCGCCAGTCTGGGAAAGGCTTGGGACGTTGACGCTCAGGGACGGGGACGTGGATAGTGTGTCGCCCCGAAGCGTGGTGGGCCAGAATTGGCGGTGCGACACGCCAAGCCAAAATTCCCGACCGCACGTTTCCCTGACAATGGACGAGCAGCCGCCGCCTCCACCCGCCTCTCGCTCGCCGCCGTGTTTGGTTTTTAGTTCTGAACTCGGGCCTCTGGCGGGCGTTCGGGACGATCAGGGCAGCCCCTGAGCGCCCTCGGCGAGGCGCAGCTGCTGGCAAGCATCCCGAGGCTGAATTTAGGTTGGGCATGTCCTCCTACAGGGGGATTTTGGAAGAAGAACACAAGTTCTTCGAACAAACATCAAAAGGGCCAAAAACCTCGGAACATCGTCACCGACTATCTTTTTACACTGTTATGGAGGATTCCTCCAGTAGAGGGACACGCAGACTTACGGCTGGATCACCGCCGAGGACCGACGAAAATCTTCGAACACCTCGAGCCTCGAGCCCGAAGCTTCCCCGACAGTGGGCGAGCGACCGCCGCCTCCGCCCGCCACCGCGCCGCCGCCGCCGCCGCCGCCGCCGCCGCCTCTGCCGCCGCCCCTGGGCGCCCAGCACCGCCGTCCCGAGCGGCGGCCGCCGCCGTCGAGCAGGCCGCCGCCGCCGCCGCCGTCGGTGCGCCGTCGGCGCGGGCGCCGAGCTCGCGGCGCTCGCCGCCGCCGGCGGCGGCGTCCTCAGGGTCGCCGTCAGATCGAGGCTCAGGGATCGGCCCTTGGATCTGGGCGTCGCGAGTTCTCCAGTTCCAGGTGCAAAGGAGGCCTGGTGTCTGTTGTGTGTTCCTTTTACTCGGGAAACCGATGCGAAACTATCCCATACGCCTCCCCCTCTCTCTCTCTCTCTCTTTGTTCCCAACCATCCTGTGGTGTTGGGTCCTCGTTTTGAAGAGACGGTGCCCGCGTCCTCTCCTCTCCTCCTCTTCCCCCTCCTCCCTCCTCCCCCTCCTTGCCTCTGCTCTCGGCACACCTCTCACGCGTTTCGTAGCCCCATAGGGAGCTCCACCGAAGGCCCCAGTGGGGGTGTTCGCATGCGGTTCCCCCACCCAGGGCAGCGTTTCGTAGCCCCATAGGGAGCTCCACCGAAGGCCCCAGTGGGGGTGTTCGCATGCGGTTCCCCCACCCAGGGCAGCGTTTCGTGGCCCCATAGGGAGCTCCACCGAAGGCCCCAGTGGGGGTGTTCGCATGCGGTTCCCCCACCCAGGGCAGCGTTTCGTGGCCCCATAGGGAGCTCCACCGAAGGCCCCAGTGGGGGTGTTCGCATGCGGTTCCCCCACCCAGGGCAGCGTTTCGTAGCCCCATAGGGAGCTCCACCGAAGGCCCCAGTGGGGGTGTTCGCATGCGGTTCCCCCACCCAGGGCAGCGTTTCGTGGCCCCATAGGGAGCTCCACCGAAGGCCCCAGTGGGGGTGTTCGCATGCGGTTCCCCCACCCAGGGCAGCGTTTCGTGGCCCCATAGGGAGCTCCACCGAAGGCCCCAGTGGGGGTGTTCGCATGCGGTTCCCCACCCAGGGCAGCGTTTCGTGGCCCCATAGGGAGCTCCACCGAAGGCCCCAGTGGGGGTGTTCGCATGCGGTTCCCCCACCCAGGGCAGCGTTTCGTGGCCCCATAGGGAGCTCCACCGAAGGCCCCAGTGGGGGTGTTCGCATGCGGTTCCCCCACCCAGGGCAGCGTTTCGTGGCCCCATAGGGAGCTCCACCGAAGGCCCCAGTGGGGGTGTTCGCATGCGGTTCCCCCACCCAGGGCAGCGTTTCGGGAGCTCCACCGAAGGCCCAGTGGGGGTGTTCGCATGCGGTTCCCCCACCCAGGGCAGCGTTTCGTGGCCCCATAGGGAGCTCCACCGAAGGCCCCAGTGGGGGTGTCCATGCGGTTCCCCCCCCAGGGCAGCGTTTCGTGGCCCCATAGGGAGCTCCACCGAAGGCAGTGGGTGTTCGCATGCGGTTCCCCACCCAGGGCAGCGTTTCGTGGCCCCAGGGAGCTCCACCGAAGGCCCCAGTGGGGGTGTTCGCATGCGGTTCCCCCACCCAGGGCAGCGTTTCGTGGCCCCATAGGGAGCTCCACCGGAGGCCCCAGTGGCTGCCCTCGCATGCGGTTCCCCCACCCAGGGCAGCGCTTCGTGGCCCCATGGGGAGCTCCACCGAAAGCCCCCGTGGCGCAGTTCGCATGCGCTTCCCCCACCCAGGGCAGCGTTTCGTGGCACCATAGGGAGCTCCACCGAAGGCCCCAGTGGCGCAGTTCGCATGCGGTTCCCCCACCCAGGGCAGCGTTTCGTAGCCAATAGGGAGCTCCACCGAAGGCCGCCCCGGTGGCGCAGTCCGCATGCGGTTCCCCCTATCCAAGGCAGCGCTTCGTGGCCCCATATGGAGCCCCACCGAAAGCGGCACCCACAACGCGTTACCAACAATTGCTTATGGTTGGGTCTTTCGCCAGGATAATTTTTCTCTCTCTCTCTCTCTCTTTCTCTCTCTTTCCCTCTCTCTCTCTTTCACTATCTTCCTCTTGAAAGCCTCCGCCTTTGAAAGAGGGATTCCTATTGAAAGCCTCTACAAAAGGATTCCTATCGAAAGTCTTGACAAAAGCATTCCTATTGAACTCCTCTACAAAAGGATTTCGATTGAAAGCTAATACAAAAGGATTCCGATTAAAAACTTCTAGAAAAGGATTTCTATTGAAAGCTAATGCAAAAGGATTCCTATTGAGAGCCTCTACACAAAGGGTTTCTATTGAAAGCTCATACACACAAATTCCAATTGAAAACCTTTCCGATAGGATTCCTATTGAAATCCTCTACATAAGGATTCATATTGAAAGCCTGTACCAAAGGATTCCTATTGAAAGCCTCTGCACAAGGATTCTTATTGAAAGCCTTTACGAAAAGGATGCAGAAAAGGTGCATATCGAAAACCTCTACAAACGGATTCTTATTGAAATCCAGTACAAAAGGATTCCTGTTTAACGCCGCTGCGAAACCATTCATATTGAAAGCCAGTACAAGATGATTCCGATTGAAAGCCTGTACAAAAAGATTCCGATTGAAAGCCTCTAAGAAGGGATTCATATTGAAATCCTCGACAGAAGGATTCCGATTGGAAGCCTTTGCAAAAAGGATTCCCATTAGAATCCTCTACAGAAGGATCCCGACCGAAAGTCTGTACCAAAGGATTCCGCTTGAGCGCCTCTACGAAAGGATCCCGATTGAAAGCCAATGCAGAAATATTCCTATTGACATGCGATAGGATTCCCATTGAAAGCCTCTACAACAGGATTCCTAGTGGACGCCAACACACAAGGATTCTTGTTGAAAGCCTCTACATAAGGATTCCTATTGAAAGCAAATACAAAAGGATTCCTATTGAAAGCCCATTGAAAAAAAAAACTACAAACGGATTCCGATTGAAAACCTTCACAATAAGGATTCGTATTGAAAATCAATACAACAAGATTTTTGTTGGAAACCCATACAAAATTATCCTGGCGAAGGACCCAACCATATGCAGTTGTGAGTATCGCAATTGTGAGTATCTTCTTCGGTGGCGCTCCCTATGGGGCCACGAACCGCATGAGGGGTGTGCCGAAATGTGGCGGGGTACACAACGCAAAGGAATACGATAGATCTGATTACGAGAGAAAGAACGCGGGTGAGTCAGAGCGCGAGGGAATCTGAGTATGAATGGGTCTGCGCGCGAGTGAATATATTTGCATGAATGCGATCATGGAACCGCCTAGTGTAAGTGTCGAGCATGCCTGTCCGAACACACGCGACACTGGGCGTGGCCGCCGCAGGCAGCTTCCGCGGGAACCCCGACGGCAGCGTCCGCACGTCGCGACGCCCATGTCGGCACGCCTCTTGCGAGGATCGCGCCCGCTTTCGGCTCTTCTTTTCCTTCCTCTTTGCCCGCGCACTCCAAAATCCAAGGCTGCGGGCGCAGCGCAGCGCGGAGTCCCCGCGACGCGCGCTGGTCGCCCCGGGCGGGGTCCCAGCGACGCGCGCGGGTCGTCCGCTGCGCGAAGCAGAGAGAGCTGACTAGCTAACTGGCTGGCTGATAGCGGGCAAGTCTCTGACCGCTGGGCAGAGCGACGACGGGCGAACGAGGCGCCGGGCCCCCCGCAGCACGGAGTTCCCGCGACGCGCGCTGGTCGCCCCGAGAGGGTCCCAGCGACGCGCGCGGGTCGTCCGCGGCGCGAGGCCAAACAATTAGTCGGGCAGTCGAGAGAAGGCGCGGCTCGGGGGAGACGCTCCTCAGGTCAGGCCTCGCGGATGAACTCGGTGAAGCCGAGCTCCCTGGCGAGGGCCGTCGCTTCCCTCCTGCACCGCTTCGTGCGCGCCGCAAACTGCTCCAGCTGCTTCCGCAAGCCCTGCGGCGGCCCTGCCAGGAAGAACTCGATGCGCGGCGCCCGCATGAGCAGGAGGTCCTCGTGGCGCGTGGCGCGCGAGAGCAGCACGTAGAGC